AGCAGAAGCGCGACAGTAAGCGATACATAAGGCGATACTCAGTGGAATGCGGCGGGATCCAAGTATATAACACCCTTAGAAAATGACCAACACTGACCAGGACACCGAAATGTACGACGACTACCTCCTGGACTCAGACTCCGGACTTCTGACTCGACTCGGACAATCTCCATGGGAGAGGCGACGTACGCCCATTAACTGGAGATGAATTCTCATGGCCATGATTTGTGTTCGGGTGTCGCGTAGACATTGCCGAGGAGTTGGGCATGTGGGATAGGTAGGTAGGTTCACAGCGGAACCAGTAAAAACAATGGACCAGATGAGCGGAGAAAAAAAAACCAAAAAAGTGCAGCAATTGATGGACACACTTTTTCCCGTCCTTCTCCCAGTGTTCCTGGTGGAGGCAGCAGTCAGGACATAAGCGAGAACATGCAACATGGATGTAAAAGTGGGTGTGGACATCGGGAATGAATTGGAAATCCAAGCTCATCGTCTAACGGTGACTTCAGTCGGCGCTAGGAGCAACGTTTAATTGGATACGAACGATACTGTTTCTATTTCTATGGGGATTGCAGAAACTAACATAGGAGCAAATTCTCTATTCTCTAATAAGGTTATTTCGTTTTCTTGGATTTCGCAAAGAATCAATCAAAAAAAGTTTCTTTTATTTCACCTATTCAAATTTAATATTAATTAACTCGAATGGCACAAATTTACCCTGCTTGAACCACTGTGCGGCAAAACAATGCACGTTTCGTGAGCCGCTGAAAAAAATTGCGCTCTCCGACAGCAGTGGCAGAGCGAGAGGAGCCAGCAGGCGAATCCGAAGACAAGAAGCAGGACGAAAAGTTGAACAAGAAAAAAATCATGATGAAACTGGACAGACGCTGCGTCGGCCCCAACCACACTGCAGAGACAGAAGCATGGGCATGGGGGATGGGGAGGGAAGGTGAAGGTGGGCCGGCTTCGACTTGGACTGAGAATGAAAGTGTACACGAGTCAATGGGGAGAGGACTTGTGTGAGTGTGTGTGAGCTGCGACCATTGTTGGGGATGGGGGAAGGGACTCGCACACACACACACAGAGACAGAACGCGGGCAAAAAATTTTTTCTTTGCGCTTCACTCAATTTCGATTTTTTCTTTTATTTTGCCTCCCTTTCGCTCAGCTCAGCAGCAGCTCGGTTCCTTCGAAAAGTTCAAAGTTGCAAGCCCAGCGCCCAGTGCGCTCTCTCGCTCTCACTCACACACACTCAGACACATTGGCGACGTGCCGTGGGGCGAAAAAATGCTCAGAGAGCTGTAGCGGCAGCAGAGCAAAAGAAACAAAAAAAAAAATGAGAAAAAAGTAATTCTGCACAGAAAAATAAAAATTGTTTGCAAGAAAGAATGAAAGAAAAAATCGGAAAAAATGCAAGCCAAGTGGTTGCCGCCCGAAAGAGATAGAGTGAGAGACAGAGAGAGAGAGACCAAGTGGGGGTGATGGCTGGGGTCTGGTCTGGTCTGGTCTGGGTGTGTTGTGTGCCACCCCATTAACTGGTGTCCACCTCCGTCTCTGTCTTTGCTCTCTGGCTCTTTCTCTGTCTGTTTGTGTGTGTGTGTGTGTGTGTGTGTTTGTGTCAGTTTCAGTTGCTCACATAGTTGGCCAAAGATAAAGGTGCCGGTATGGTTGGTGCGGGCGAAGGGGCAGGGAGAGTGGGTGGGGTGTCGTGCCCCAGCCACACATGCAATGAGGCCAAAACGAGGTAGAGAAGGAGAAAAGTGGAGGCGAGGGCGGTTCTCAGTGTGGCGACGCATTGGGAAGACCCTCAAGTGTTGGCATGCAGCAGAAAAAAAAAAAAATACATAGCAATAAATATAACCAAAGCACATGGCGGAGCAGACACATGCATGTGTCGCGAATACTGGGGGAGGGGGCGAGATGCGGGTGGAGGTGGGGTGGCCTCAACACTAAATCATCTGTGCATGTATGCAATGTACAGATGTGTGTTTGTGTCTGTGTCCACGTTGACCACGTTTGCTAAAAGCATTAAAGCAGCGCCAGCATTAATTAACGCTTTGCAAAAATCGAATCTAAGCTTAACCCCAAAAAAGTGCAAACAAAATACAATCCAGGTGGCAACGCTCTGTGGCGATATGCAGTGCGAAAGGACAAGCAATAATCCATGAGTTGAATGGGAAGAGCCTGGTTTTAATTAATTAGCAAAAGAGCAAAAAAAAAACATATTTTGGGTGAACCTTGTTTTAATTATTTGCTCGTACAAAAATTTAAATTTTTCCTTGCGTAACGAAACAAAAAGTCCATTTGTAAAACAAATTTTGGGAACGGAACACTTCAATGCACATCGTTCCGTTCCGAACACCAAAGTGTCCAGTCACCGTTCCCCAACCTGAAGTCCAGTCGACATCACAGCCATACAACATTTTTCAAGGCGAATCAGACGCGCCAAAAAAAATAAAGGGGCCAGCCACCGCACAAAAGCAAAAGCTGAAATACGCACCAAGCAAGACGACGACAACGACAACGTCAACGTCAAAGCTCCCCAAACACACACACGAACACATGCAGGCGACACAGCACACACACTCGCACACATTCAGAAGGGGGACAGAGAAGTTGCGGTCGACGACGGCGACGCACAACGGACAAGCAAAACACACAAAAGTACAAGGGCAAATACAACAACAAGAAGAACAACTGCACGAAACAGAAAATAAAAATGGGCGAAAAAGTTTAATACATAAAGTGGGGGAGGAGGAGAATAAGGAGAAGGAGCCACGCGAAACTCCAAGAACATGTGCAGAAACAACGGCGACGACGACTACAACGGCAACGAAAGAGATACAAACAACAAACACAGCGAGCGTCATCGTAGCTGTAGTCGTAAGCCTCCATTCCCACTCCCTCCCCCCACCGCACACAAACATAAGGAGAATGGGAAAGAGAACGAAAAAAAAATCGGCAACTTGTGGGAGTCAAAGAGGGGTTTGGGGGAAAAGAGAGAGACAGCGATAGTGAGAGAGAGGACCGAGTGGGGCGCCCATCACAGATGGCCGGCAAAACTTTTGCAGCGAAAATATAAAAATGGAGCGCACGTCTGTGACAAAAACAACAAGCAGTGGAGCAGTGGAGAAGTGGGAGTAGGAGAAAGAGCAGGCAGCATGAATGGGAAGTCGTCTGCCAGTCGCCACAAGAAGAAGAAGAAGCAAAATTTCCATGTGTGTGTGTGTGAGGTTGGGGGTGGACCTGGACCGTAATTTGAGCCATTTTTTTTTTGCTCAGCAGCGACTTGAGTGCGAATCCAAGAGAGAACAGCGTCAAGCGGACATGTTCTATGCAGTGCCGGCGCCACCACTGTTGGTACCGCCGCTGTAATGGTTGGTGTCTCGGCTCAAATGGTTGCTGCTTAAATAAGCTAATGTTAACACTTAACAGCGAAACGGAAATTATGTTAATTATCGCAGGAAGGATGTAATTTGTGCCAAATTGTGCTCCAAGTGGCATTTGAACCATCAAAAAACGGTTACCCACATCGAGAAAAACCTGTGTTTCCAAAATCTTTCCTTGAATGAAAATCGGATAACAATTTCCATATGGGAAGCAGCTCCAAAGTTTCAGTTTTCGTTTTAGAGATGCCAGCTAAATTATCAGAAGAAATCGATCACTCTGCCCCCCCTGAGCATGCAAATCAATATTAATTAAAAATCGCAATAGCAAAAACAAGTCGTCTGGAATTCCAGTATGCATCAGTATGTTTGTGTGTGTGTGTGTGTGGGGTACTCTTAATATAGAGGTGGGTAGGTATGGCGAATCTGCCCCACCGCCCCACCTACAATAGAGCAATAGTTAATGAAGCACACAACACAAATGACAATTACAATGGGGCGTTCCTCTACAAAAGCGGGGCATCAACGAGCACAGCTCCCAGTGGGGCAGGGTAGATGTATATAAATATAGGCAAAGTGGGGCTAGAGAGGGAGACTAGCTGCCTCTTCCCACCTCCGATAACAACAACGACCCTGACAATAATTTTGCCTATCTATCTCTCCCTCCCTCTCTCAGTCTCTCTCTCTCTCTCTCTAGTATTTTTGTGCTCAATTTAAACCAGAAAAATATTTCGAGGCTTTACGCCTGATGTCTGTTGACAAACCGATTAGGAGGCGGTAATTGTGTGTACAGTGCGTTTCGTGGGTGTCAGGTCAGTCTGTTAAATAGTGTTTGACTGTAACAAATCTTTTCATAATTTTAATTAAGATTTTAGCACTTCATTTGATTTATAATCTGTACAGTTATAGTCATTAAATTGATACACCCCGCTAAAATGTTAGTAAATACAAAATATTAATTTGAATAATCAAAATCAATTAATTCGGGCAGATTATTGTTTTATTGCATGTTATCTCTACGATTTATTGCCCACTTGCCCACTGTGGGATTCACAGTACAATGATAAATGATCAACGGAATGGAAATTCGTAAAGATTTAATTCATTTCGATCCAAGCTGCTGATTTTATATGAATAACTCTGCTGGTATAAAACGCACTGTACGCAATAGTTTATTATCTATAGGGCTATGTAGATATGTTCGAATATGTTGTTTGATAAATGTTCAAGAGGGTATTTAGAGTGGGACAAAGGAGTAGGTGGCATGGCTAATACAAATCCCAAGCAGCATTGCAGTTACCATAACCTCATACATGCATGCACATGGCTGGCAGAAACAACAATTTTGGCTGGCAGAATAAAATGTGCACTTCGCCGATGTAAATTTTGCGATAGTGCCAGGCGATTTGATAGCATACCGTCCATACCGTTTGCAAACGAAGTTGTAAACTATCAAACAGAGATTCTTAACTAAATAGATTTGCCCTTGCCCCTTAGTATTATATATTTTAAAAATTAATCTTCATCTGGATCTGGATGATAACTCAATTCAATGAGGTTCGAGTTGTCTTCAATTCCGGAGAATTATTCCTAATGTCTGTTGAGTGCGACTCACCTGTAGTTCCGATTCGGTGACATCGATCTCACCGCGGTAGACAAAATCGATGATTGTTTTCAGATCTGTGAATATGATATCGGCGGGTAGGATGATTGTTGGATGTTTGCATGGGTTCTCCAGCAGAAGCTTCTGAAAGTATGTCGAGCAGGCGGAGAGGACGACCTGGAAAGAGGTTGCACGATTATATGGCTATCAAATTCAGGGGTGACGGGGCCGGGGCCGGGACAACATACCTTGTGTGCCTTAAGGGATCCGTGTTCGCAGGACAAGGTCACATCGACAAAGGAGAGATCTTCGCGCAGTTGCTGGAACACGGATGTCATCGTGTTCTGGTAGTTGTTCCATCGCAGGCTAAAGTACTGATGTCCTCGTACGGCAGCCATGTTGTATGATTTTTTTAGATTCCGTTTGTCCTCTGATTTCTTTGTATTTTTTTTATTCTGTACTGTCCAGTGGTTTGCTCCTTAAGCTTTTGTTCTTGTTGCTGGTTCTGCTGCTGCTTGTTGCTGCTGCTGCTGTGTGTGGCTCCAGTGACGTGTTCAACACGTCCAAGGCTCTGTGCTGGTGCCGGTGCCGGCAGCCGCGCGCGCTCTCTTCACCCGCTGGAAAAACATAAGAATCGTCAGGAAAATGCTGATAACTTGACAGGAGATAGATGTGTCTGGCCACGCATTTAATTTCATTTATCAATCAATCTGTGTGTAACAAACAAAAAAGTATCTTCCGTTTCTACTTCTATGCGGAAAGACGTTCCCGATGCAACTGAGAGAGCAGGGAAGCACCACCCCAAAACACACAACCACATGTTGAAGATTCAAAGAGGAATCGTAGCCATTGTGTGGGGGAGAGCAGAGACAGAGTCTGCCCAATACAGGTAGGAGGACAACATATCGATGGAGGGCAGATGAGGTCGAATATGTATTTGAATGCCCTGCAGGCCTTGGCCCATTGGTGGGTTTATATTCAGTTTCTAACGTGCCTTAACTTATTAGAAATTTATGTTGGTTTTGGATGCAGCGTTATAGCGAGACACTGGAGGTCACATAATAAAACATTTCAATCAAAAGACGGACCCCAAAAGCAAAATTTCTTTGATTTTGAGCTTTCGTCGTCGTCGCTTCAGAAAAAGTTTTATTTTGCGCATTTTCATGTAAAAGGCTCTGCGCGCCAGGCTGAGGCCCAGGAAAAAGAAAACCGAAACCAGTTTCAGTTCAACTTATTTTTGTTCAATGGCACGTATTGGGGCCAGGCTGTTGTCGGTTGTTGGGGCGCATTGTCAAAATGAGAAAAAAAAATATATAAAGCTAAATAGGAATGTGGAAAGGATGCTCCTCCAAGAGGCGAGGCGAGACGGGACGAGGCGCATACAAGCCATACAAATAGAATTTAAGGGCGACGTGCAGCGGCGTGGAGGGGAGGGAGGCAGGGCACTCCTAGCCAGACAGCAAAACGAAACCAACTTCTGGGCAGGCGGCAGGCAATGGCAACTTCTTCTCTTCTGCCCATTCCAGACATCCCATGGCGGGCCATAAAGTTCATCTACTAAAGCCCAGCCGTGCCACAAGAACAAAGCTAAAGGGGAAACCACCAAAGGTTTAGGCTGCAACCGCAATTCGGGTCTGCTCAGTTGTAAGTTGTATACCTACCATACCCGACCCGAAACAGTGCAATAACCGCAGGAGAGTGCCCAGAGTATATTAATTAGAAGGTAAGGTAGTCGTAGTCGTAGTCATGCGCCGGCATACAGGAATCTCTTTCGGACTTTTCTCACCTTTATTTCAAGCGTCAAACAAGTTGCATTTCTCTTTTTCCCCCACTCCCGTCGGTTCGAAAAATGCAAAATCAAAACAAAACGGCGTCAGAAAAAATGTGAAAAAGGAACCAGACCAGATACGGTGTTGCCACCCACTCTCAAATCTCAACCGCACGCTCTCTCTCTGACTCTCTCTCTCCGTTGGAGGTAATCAGCAATCGCGTATTACGCGTTCGATTTGTTGTTTTGTTCCTGTTGTTGCTACAGCTTCCTTTTATTTGTCTTCTTCTTGTACTAGACCAATCGACATTTCTTTTATTTTTTTGTGTTTGCTATTGTTTGGCTCCCCTGTTGCTCTCACACACGAACACACACACACACAGGCAGCTTCTTGGAGCCTTTGGATTCTTCTTCTTCACATGTTCATTCTCCTTCTGCCTGTTTCTGGGTTTTTTTTGGCAAATGGAAATTTTGTGTGTGTGTGTGTACATCCTTTTTCACTTTTCATTGCTCTTGAATATTTTCGCTCGTGTGCAGTGGCACCCTATACACACAGGTTCACGAGCGGCGGGCGGGCGGCACCTTGGTTTCAGTCTCGCTTAGGCCATTAGAACAATTAGAATGACTGTCATTGCAATATTGAAAACCAAATCGAACAATTGAAATTTTGTCTTTAGGCCCATCTTTGTTTGGAATTGAGTAAAGGCGCTGACCATTTTGCATGGAACACGATAGATAAACTGTGTTGTAGCCTTTACTTTATTTGAGCCAAAAGTAATTGCAAAGCACGCTATGCTGTGAGTTGATTGGGAAATTGCTTTTTATTTAGCACCAAATTGCATGCTGACGATTTTAATTAGGGTTTTGGTTTTTCAATGTTTTAAAAATTATGGAACAATTTCGCGTTACATTTGAAAAATCGTACTCGACCCACTGTCCCTGTTTCGGGCAACTTCGTTTTCGTTGCGTCTCTTCGGATATTATGTGTGCATGAGCAAGCGAGACAGCTGTTTGGTCGCTTGGTCGGCAGCGAAGAAGCAGCACAAGACAAATGACAGCGCGCTGCGAAATGAGTGTGAGAGAGGTGTGATGGTGGTGGGTGATGGAGAGACAGAGGCGAAGAAAATGGATTTTAAACATTTTTGTTTTGATTATTATTGTTCTTGTTCGTCGCAAACTTTGCGAAGCAGAATAGGCGAAGAGAGTGGGTGAGTGAGTGAGTGAGAGAGCGAGGGAGAGAGAGAGAGCACCCGCGAGAGAGGGAATCAAAAGTGCAAGTGGCTTTTGTGGAGCAAGGGAAGGGGGGAGCTGCGGGCACACGACACCCACAAATGCCCCCTCACAGTGTATGTAAATGTAATGCTGAACAAATTTTATTTGCAATTGAATCCAATTGAAATTTTTGTATCTTTTCTCCTCTTCATTCACTTATTTTTCGTTACGTTTCACAAAGATCTCTCTGCCCGCTTTTGCGAGCGCCAACTCTTATTTTTAGTTGGTTGTTTCTGCTGCCGACTTACCTTTTCGCTATTTATATTTTTGCGTTTTGCGCTTATTTCGCTGCTGCTGCTGTTGCTGCAATGGGTGGGACGAGCTGCTCATCGCTGCCGCCAGCGTTCAATTTGTTGCTCTTTTGCATAATTTGCGAGCGCACGCAATACGTCAACGGAATGCTGGGGGATGTGATGTGATGTGCTGTGGGCTTGATTTGCCGCCTTCTCGCCTTACGTATTACGTAGTCCTAGTGCACGGAGATCGTAGTAGCTGTAGCTGTTGCTCACACACACACACAATAACACTAACACATTCGTGTTTACCGCCAGTTTTCTTGGTTTATTAATTTTTTCGTTTTATTTTTATTTCTTCTCGGTTTATTGCTAACCTTTTTCTCTACGCTTCTATTCTACGCTGTTCTTACTCGCTCACTCGCTCGCACTGACACTCACACACGCGCACGCACGCACCGACCGTCAAGAGCGATTGGTTTTTCATAATTTGCAAACTTAATTTATTCTATTTGGTTTGGCCATGCTCATTGCACTTGCTGTTGTTGCACTTTGCTCGTTTCATTATTTGCTTAGCTCCAGTTGCGATTTTTCCGCCCTTTTTCCGCACCGCACACCCAGAGAGGACAAGGAATTTCGCTGGCAAAACGGAATTTAAAACAATAATTATTTTTTCAGCTCGTCGTTCATCGCTCAGTGCTCGTGTTCGCCATTTTCGTATGAGGCTGCCAGACTGCCGGAACACAGTTGCCGAGTCACATAATCTCGTAGAAATACTTTATTCACTTCCACAAGCACATTGATTGATTTATTGACGCGCTATGAGTTCATTTTTTGCATTTACACATTTTTTATTGCCCACGAACGATTACAAATCACGCATTTCAGTAGACACTTGTCCGGGGTGGCAGCGCTTTATCATCTCTGTTTTGCCTTCCATTTATCACACTATTTGTCTCGCTCACACTTGCATGCAATTTCGCATGATATGACTAAGAAAAGGTGAGGTTTGTGCTGCCAGACAGTTGGAAAAATGTAACGCCACCATCACAAAAGCAGACTGCTATGACACTTTCGATAGGTTCGTAGTCGATAACATGGCGGTGCATTTGAGAATTCAAAATCTCACCAAAGCAATGCTGATCAAAGTAAATGTTCTTTTGACCTCATTTCTCATCTAAAAATTGGTAAAATCTCAGTATGTGTTTGTGTGTGCATGTGTGTGGCAGTCAAAGTCTCCAGCTAACTTATCTTTATGTATTTATAATTAGCAAATAAATATTCGCGACCAAAGTCAGCATTTGCATAATGAAGGCGAAACCATTCAAATGAGTTGCAGTTTTTCCCTAGCTGAATGCGAAAGTGAGTGTGTGGGCGTGGGGTGTGGGTGCGGAAGTGGGAGGGAGTAATTGGCGGCTGATACCAAAACGAAAAACAAACAAAAACAAAAAAAAAAACGCGCTCGACTGAACGCCGATCCATCGATTGGCATACAAAGCGACTGCTTTACGGTTTTCACAAAGAGCTACATAGATAAATTTACATTCGTGGATGCGTGAATTGGGGGTAAAAGCGAGCTTACGTGCCCCGCCGGAGTCGCTCGAATGCAGCTAATTGACATTCATGAGCCCCAAGGCCGAATACATTAAAATAATTGCATGTTCTAGTGGCTCCACAACAGCGGCCGCCGCCCCCCCCCATAATCGAGTTGCTGCTCCATCATAATTTCCAGCATGATCAGATCAGATCACTCATCGCTGCTGCTGCTTGTTGTTGCTGCTGATGCCATTAAGCTCATATTAATAAATGCCAATGCCAGCTTTTCCAGCTTTCCATCAGACATGCGCGCGGAAAAATCGATCAAAACGGATGGTCACAATGCGGAGAGCATGTTGGAGCCGCCCGCGAGGTCATTACAGCAATTGACGTGAATACGAAATGTATGTACATATGTATGTATGTATATGATTTTCTATGTACGCATAGACACACAGAAATTAGGGAGGAGTTGCCGCCATCAGCCTCAACCTTGTCGTGTCACGAGGTGATGTGGGAGTCATCATTCGATGCTACCCTAACCTTGAGTACACCCACAAGCACACTTGCGGTTAAAATAATAGCCACACTGGCATAATGTGCCCTTCTGGGTACAAAATATCAAATGATTAGAACAATGTGCCAAATGGAGTCCAATATTTCGTTTAAAAACTTCCTGTTCATACCAGACCCCACTAGCGAGCGCCCATCTCCCATTCCATTCCGAGAGGGAGAGGGACAGAGAGAGAGAAAAAAAGATCCCCTCGCACCCACAACATCAGCGGCAGAATATAACCAACGCCAGCAGCGATGCGATGCTGACGTCGCCCATACCGCTCGGGTACGGTATGTGTTCGTGTCGACGTCGTCGTCGTCGGCGCCTCGTTCCCATCATTTTTGGGATCGAAATTGGAGGCAGCGCGCTGCTGCTGCTGCTGCTGCTCCAAAAAACCCACAATGCAAAAGCCCAAGAGATAGAGCAAAGAGAGCAGAGAGCAAGAGAGCGCACATTAGATGGCACTCCCCCACCGCCTACCCCCCACCCTCTGGCAGTCTGCAATTAATGCATATTAAGGTCAGTGCGCGCCGCTGCCGCCTGCTGCCTTCTTCGCGTCTCTTTAATGAAAGTCAGACCAACAGATGGCGCCACCAGGCCTGAAATACAGCCAAAGTTTTTTTTAGCATTTAAATCCCGTTAGCGGCGGACCCAAAGAATTTCAATGATGGATAGATGGGGGAAGAACCACTAAATACCAACACAAAAGTCAGCAACTCATTCAGCGTGGCAAAAAGTTTAGTTTAAAGGGGGAAGAAAAAGTTAACGAAAAGCAACATTTACAGACCGATTGACGTCATTGGGAAGGTGGGTTTTTTTTTTTTTTTTTTCCGTATGGAAAAGTTTATGTAAGTTTGTGGGCAGCCTTTCTGTGTGTGTGTGTGTGTGTGTGTTAGTGCGCGTGCTGGGCGACAAGTGAATTGCATTTCTTGCATGGTGCGCATGCACTCAATCCCTCCCCCCCCCCCCCCCCCCCCCCCTTTCACCCATAACCACACCCACCCACTCCGTTGAGTGCAGCTCCCCTGCCAGAGAGGGAGTCGAAAAGCTTTTATGACTTTTCTATGTATGCGTGTGTTTGTGTGTGTGTGTATGCACAGCAATTTCATGTCATAAGTGCATAAAAAAAAATTGCAGGCGGTTCAGTTCACATGACAAGCTGACAAACATTAGATTTATCAGTGTCCCCCCCTGCTCACTCTCTCTCTCTCTCACTCTCCCTCTGCCCAGCCATTATCTAATGTTTTTGCAAAAAAAAAAAAAGAAACCTGCCCTAGAACTTTTCTTACATGCCAACTTACGCGTAGATACTATAGCTGCATACCTGTACATACATACATACATATGTACATATGTATGCATGCATTTAGTACTGACATTAGCTATCTCTATCCCATTCCAGTTGCAGGTTTTATTGACGTGTATTTCACAACGAAGCCCTTCAATGGATGCCCACGACACAGCACTGCACGGCACATACTCTCACACTGGCAAACTAGACTCTAGAAGTGCATACATATGTACATATGTATGTACATATGTACAGGTACAGTAGTCGCTCGGAACTTAGAATAGGAATTGGGAACACCTGAATAATAGAGAAACTCACAACAAACCCTTTTACATACATACATATGTACATATGTATGTATGTATGTATATCCTGTGATGGTTTTGTACCTTTTTGGGTGAACATTTCCTTCTTCTAGAATGGGGCAACAAATCTTCAGGAGCCTCGTTTCTGTGATTATTCTTCAAGGAAAACTTGTTGCAAATACAAATCACCAAATAACGAAAGGGTTCCAAATTCCGAGCGACTACTATAAGTGGGTTATTATGTACACATAAATCCCATATGCACTTGTAGCTATAATGTGATGTGTGGGTAACGACAGGTGTTGGATTCTTAACAACTTGCTCCGCCCTTAAGCGTATCGTGGTATTCGTAGTATACGAATACGACGTATGCGTTGACAGGCAGCAAAACTTTTAATATCGTAGCGTAGAGAGATCGAGGGAGGCCACTGGTCCGGTCCGCTCCCCCTAAAGATTACTAATCTCTCGATTGGCTTATAGTATATATTTCCATAAAAGTACCACAGTCCGCACACCGCACAGCAATTTGGAAAAGATTCAAAATCCAAAATCTGCAGTTCCAAGGCCGTGATGCGTCATGCAGCAACAGCCCCCGCTCCCTCTATCCAGCTCTCCCCAGCTGTACCTCTCTCTCTTACTCGAACAGCGATGGCTGGCTCACCTTGTCTATGACATAATGCTCACCTGAGTGAAGAAGAGTTGTCCACAGTTTTGCAATTTGCAATTTATAAATGTTAATTAAATTTAATTGCAGCTGCAAATTAAGCTTGCTTCAAAAAGTTGTTTCACCCAAGAGGGTCCTTCGCGCTGCTTCTGCCACCCACTCCTTTTCTCCACCTCCCCTATCACCTTCATCTCTGTTGCTATCTCTCTCGTGGATGGCCAAAGCTCACCTGGCAACAGTGAATAAGCGCAAGACGAGCGAGGGCATAAGACGAAAAATCAAACATACTTCATGGCGCTTTCGCGTGCGCTCTCTCTCTCTCTCTCTCTCTCTGTCGTTCTTTCTCGTCTCTCTGGCACGAGGCTGGCCCGTGTGGATCTCATGCTCTCTGTTCAGTCCAATCCCTCCCCATTACCCACCAAGAGTGGGATTGTGTATGCATCTGTCTATCCCTTGTGTGTTGCCAGGCACAGCCACTACCACTACCACCCCACACCACACCACCCTGCCCACTCATACTACCCAACAGCTCGATCTGGGCTGCTCCCACCCTCCTGTTCCTGTTTCTGTTTCTGTATGGACGTGCAGGTCTTGCAGGTATGCAGCACCCAGAGACCCAGCACGGATAATGACTCGGATATGGATACGGAGTCGAAGAATGATGACCACGTGGAGCACAAACGGCGTCCACTGTACAAAGTGATGAAGATTTGTCCGAAACTAGAATTCAGTCCGAAACAGTTAAAAAAAACATTAAATTTTTGTTCCATTCAATGGAACCTGGAACGATACAGCAAGGTCAGGTCCCCATCATCGCAATCACGGATGAGCACCACCTGCCACACGTGGATTTTGGAGCCCTGGAGAATGTGTACAAGGTACTGGCGGTGGGGACAGTGGGCCAAATACCAATACCTGCGAGTGGCTCCAATCACAAAGAAAGAAATTGATAAATTGGGAAGTGTTGAAATTGCGGAAGGTCTGAGAACAGTCCTCGAACGCAACTATTGCCGTGTGCGATCATTATATGGCAAACTTGGCGCCGATTAAACAAATAGGGACAGAATTTGGTGTCCCTTTCCTATGGGATAATAAAAATCGTCGCAATGTAGCCGCATTGTAGACCACCTCATAGACACGACGTGTGCATGCAGAAACTCTACAGAGGCACCTATTCAAAGCATTCGTGGAGGGCCGCTTTGACTAATGTTCGGTATAGTGGAATAACGGAATAACGGGAACGGGGCGTTCTCATTTAACGTTATTAGGGTAGTTTTTGCTCTGCCGCCTTAGTTGCTGCTGTTGTACTTTGGCCCTGAAGCTTAGTTGCCTCGAATCGATGTCGCAGCGCTCCAGCAGGGCCCACCAACGCCACCCCACGGCGAACTGTCTGTTGTGTTTTTGGGGTGGAAATTGTGTGTGTGTGTGTGTGTCGGCGTCGGGGATCATCATCAGTGGACCGAACCGACCCCGGGACTCGACTTGAATCGAGTCGAACAAACCCAACTTTGTGCAAGGTAGATTCAACAGCTGGTAAGGTAAATAGGGGGACGGATGTGCATT